TGCAGGAAAGGAATGGGATTGATACAATCCACCCCCCTTTTCTCTTAGGAAGTAAAAGGGATTGCAACTTCCTTCTGGTGCAGCCCCGGTTCATTTAAATAAGCAGAACATTGCTGTCATCATCAGCATCATTCACCTTATTCGTGCGGCTAGGAGGCAGCACGGGGAGAGAAGATGATATTTTTTTTTATGTGTGTATTATCATGTCTGGCCATAACATGCCAGAGTGAGCAATGAAGATGGGGAAGAACAACCATTTTGGAAATGCAATGAAATATCCGTCTGGAAAACAGAGACACTGGGCACGTCTACACGAGACACTGAACGCACAGTAGCTTAATAACACTGTGCAATAGCGTGCTGGGCAAAAACCGTGCTAATACCCTACTGCGCAGTAGTATTAAGCTATTGTGCAGTAAGCATCACACAAATACCCTGTGTGCCAAGGCTACTGTGCAGTCGTGTGAATTACTGCACATTTAGTTAGTACGTCATTAGTACTAGTACAAATTAAAGTACTAAATTCAATGTGCACTAACTATCGCACATTAATGACCATGTAGATGCGCCCACTGATAAGCTGATTGCTTCATGAAAAGGAAAATGTTTATAGGCTTCCTGCCTTCTCACCACCAGAAAGTGAGGACATCGTCAGGAAACTTAGAGACAAAATGAATATAAGGGGCACTTTGGGTATTAAAATTTATGAAAGAAGTACCAACTTCACTGAATCTTCAGTGTGCCAATGGACTCAAATCCAATGTAAAGATACAGGAATGGTTCCTGAAATAAATCCAAGAGTGAAAACCTACAGCTGTAGCCATTTTGTGGATGAAAGCTTATTATTTCTATCTACCATGTAATTCAGCCAAAACCACATCCAACTTTCTCCATGAAGCCATTACCTTCTTTTTAAACCACGGCATTTCTCTGTAAAAGATGTTGCATCTTCCAGAAGTGGAGAATTTATTACATGCCACATCCTTAGGCAGCATGTTTCAATTATAGCCACTGTTAAAAAAAAACCCACCTTATTTCTTCTTTTTTTTTATTGCAACTCTATTGCTAGTGAAAGCTGGCTGACAGCCAGCGTCGGGGAGAGAAACACAACTCAAAACAAAGCTGTTATGTGAACAGAAGGGAAAGTTTTCTGCATAAAATTGTACCTTGACCAACAAGGTAGTTGTTTTAGGAATAAGAATTTGAGCTCCAGGTCCATTGCTGCTTTCTATTCAGACAGGCAGGTAGCAGGGGGGATGATTTGTGCTAGCACCGGTAGGGAAAACATTTAGAGCTGTTAATGACAAAATGCCGTACAGGGCAATGCTTTTAGCTTTATAGAAATGCCATGAGATCAGACATCTGGTGCTTAAAGGTATACAAATGATCAAGAAAGTAAAAGCTTCGGTTTTCTTGTGGTTGTCATTTTTTCTCTAAAAAAATAAAAATAAAGAAGAAGAAAAAACAACCATCCTGGCATCCACTTGAGTCAGGAAGAGTATCGATCAGCGTGCAGGCAGCAGTTATTTTTCTTTATTACACGTCTCGCGGAGGGTCCGTCTCTGAAAACATTACCATTCCTTCCTACGGCCCAGGCTGTGACAGCAGGGCAAGGCTTAACACTGTAGCAGCCAAAAAGAATTGGGTTTGACCGCACGTCTGCAGATGGGTTTGTCCTATTTCATCTTCATCATCAGCCTTTGTCTCGACTGACAGAGCAGCAGCTGTGAGCTCTTTCCCCAGACACAAGAAACATCTAGAATGGGCCTAATCATGTACCCGCACCACCGAGGCCTCTCTTATGGCTCCAGCAAGTAATGGATTAGACCCCCTTACTGATCAGCTGCAGGGATAGACAGTTGAACTTGGGGTGCCAGCACAGAGCTCCCTATGTTTTATAATTTTTATGTTACCTGGGTCTAGCTCCCATTGACTTCAATGGGACAGGGCTGATGGCTGTCAACATAGCTGACTGTAGGCATGTCTACACGTGCATTAATGCACTGTAATTAGTCTACTGTGCATTAGCGTCACCTAAAAGGTGTGCACCGGCACTACTGCACAGTAGTGCGAATTATGGTGTATTAAGTTAGTATCTGTTATTACTTAAGTACAGCTGGAACAGGTACTAGCTAAACGCACCATAGTCGGCACTACTGCGCAGTAGCACCGGTGGCCGTCTTTTAAGTGATGTTAATGCACAGTAGGCTAATCCTACTGCGCATTAGCACAGCTTTTGTTGTGACACACTAATGCGCAGTAGAATTTGTCTACTGCACGTCTAGAGTCTCGTGTTGCCGTGCCCTCTGTGCCGCTCCAGCGGTGCCCCGCCAATAATCCTCCCTACTAACGATCAAGTACTGCAATCCATTCACGCAATTAAGCCATTCACCAGCATTGAAAGTGCAGGAGTTTATTTCCCTTTATTAAAGCACAAGTAGCCACCTAGGAACATTGTCATTTACACTGCCATCGCCGGAAGCTCAACCATCTCGTTACAACCATTTCCAAAGATAATTCAAGAGCTTTTGCATTTCAGTCAGCCAACCAGTCATGGCCCTTTCATTCCAGAGGCACCGGATGATAAAGCTTTTATTGTCATTGCTGTCGTCATTGTTGCTCTTCTTACAACAAGTTCCACTGAGCACACACCAGAATATCTAACACGTTCACTGCAAAATGCCACAAATGATCCAAAAGCGGAGTAAACAGACACATATTGAGTAATTCGCTTCTGTAGAATTGCTGCAGCATAGTTTAACAAAAATCATATTATTAAAAAAATACCATTCTTTCTAGTTTGCATCTTTCGAACAATTGAAGAAATCACAGGTCTTTTCTCTTTTTTTTTCTCTCTCTCTTTCTTTTGAAAGGACATAAAATATTGAAAGATCTCGCTAGAAAAGGAACGTGGATGCTCTTTATTCCACCATCGCTTGAGTCTCCCCTCCCACATCAACATTTCAGAAACAGACCCTGCAGCCATGTCAACCCCGTCACTTTTTGGGTGCAAACGTTTAAAAACTGTCAGATGAGGGAACGACATGATGGTATGGAAAACCCAGACTTCTCCTTGAACAAGAGTGGTGTTATGTACAGGTAACCCCCTGCCCAAATATATTTCTAACTTCAAAAGGCACGGTGCAGTTAGCCAGCAGTGCCTGCAAGATAAGGGGTCGTAGGTGTTCCTTCTCTGCATGCTTGGTGTTTTATTCAGGATAATCATTACATGTCCTCATGACCAGTGTGATTGCTTGGTGATTACTCTCCAATGCAAAGTGCTTGCTGTGCCTCCCCCCCACCCCCACCCAGTTCTTTTAAAGAAAATCTTAATTGCAAAAGTTTGCAATGGCAAAAGTTAATTGCAAAAGTTTGCAATGGCAAAAGTTTTGCTTTTGTTAAGGGCAGGATTCCTTCTAGCCCCATTTAGCATAGTTTACAAAGGTCCGGTTTCTACCTGGGGGACCCAGGCATTTCATTTGTGTTTCAAGCCTGACCCTAAGGCGAAAACAAGCAACATGAAAATACAACATTGTGTTGTCCTACAGGGTATATAAAGAACAGTACGGCATTAAAATGTCAGCAGATCAACGCATGGGAAATGCATCGTTTCATAGCACAGAGCACAGGAAATTCACATGAAATCTGTACAAGCCGTGGAGAGAGCAGGAGAGGCTGCTCCTGAGAGTCTGACGTGGGCTCTGCTCCCTGCAGCGCGGGCGGGTAGATCCTTAGCCACCATTGCCAATCTCCTCCCGGACTCTTGTGCTATGCAAAGGAAAGACATTCTAGTTTCACAGGCACCACGGAAAGGTCGGGCTCTTTGCTTTCCTCTCCAATTGACCCAACAGGGCAGACGATTTGGCTCGTGGTTGCAAGCCTGCTGTCAGAAAAATCAATGTGCAACCGGAGAGGTGTCCATTAACCTAGGAACCATCTCCCCCAAGCACTTCAGGTGAAAGAGTCTCTTCCCCTCAGCTTTCTTTCTGTCCCTATGACACAAGAATAGCAGGGTGGCTTGGAGCATTAGATGTCCTGCCATGAAGACAAGTGCTTCTTGAAGGACCTTGCGTAGCATGGCCCTAACCCCAAATGTCTTTCCAGATTAAGATATGCTGGGTTTTTGAGCTTTTTTCCAACTACTCAGTTGGTCTAATAAAATATATCACATCTACTCGAAGAACCTTGCCTGCCAAACTAAGATACCATATTTACTCAAAGACCCTCGTCTTTCCAGATTAAGCCCCGTCATTCATTCCCCTCTCCTCTCACCTCCACTGGGAGAGATCTCTGTTCATTAAGGGGATGCCCTCGTGATGTATCTGTAGCTGTACCTTATAGATGTGCATCTCTGTGTGCCTCTGCATGCATGCACACGCACACGCACACACAACCAGACCTCCTTAAGCTGAAAACATAGGAAAAAACCCAACACCAGCTTGTTCACATGAGTCTTCATTTGTCTTCCCTTCTCCCCCATAAAAGCTGGTGTCGGTCACTTTTTACTATCCCTGCCTTTCCACCTCTGAGGCACATGGTCATTCACTGACATTTATGCTTTTCTTGTTAAGCAGTCTTGATCCAACACTTCCAGCCATGCAGTGGAGCAGCCAGCTCTTCGCTGTCTGCTGGCTGGAGTGTTTGACTGTTTCTTTTTTTTCCTTCACAGTCAATGAATAATTCTGGAAATTATCTTTGTTTTGCATTTTGCTGCTATTCGTTGCTTTGGCTTCAATGAAGTCTGAAATTCAGCGTGCTGCAGTAGGAATAAAATTTGCAGTCTGCAATCCACCTGATTTGACGATCCATCGAATCCACTCAAGCAAAAGTGATTTGCATTCTGTCTGCATCCCCGAGAGCAATGGCAAAATAAGCTCTGGGATTTCAACCCTCTACTTCTTGAATGCTTTACCACCCCTATGCAAAATGCACCACGGTGGCATCCTTTAGGAATCATAGAGTCAAGTGAAAACACAGTCTTTAAATGGAGAGACTGGTTTCGTTAAAAATGCGTCAGAATGACTTCCTTTTCTGTATGCTTTTGCAGTCCTGTATCTTCCTTCCCCCCACTCTGCCTCCTAGGTTTCCAGTCTGCAACTCTGGGTAGGAAAGCCACTGTCAAAGGGCTGTTATCTGAGTTATCTCTGAAGTGGGGGTGGTTGGACTTTTCTGACTGGCAGCCATCATCGGGATTTCCTGGCCTAGTCAGGCCGGATTGTTAGTCCCCTCTGAGTTCTTGCAGGCATAAGCCACGTCCTTGGCAATGCTGCACATCCTGTTGGACATCTGGAGCTCTGTCCTGAAGGCGGTGGGGAAGCAGAACTTCTTGAAGCACTTCTTGAAGTTCTCATCCAAGAAGGCATAGAGAACGGGGTTCAAGCTGCTGTTGGCATATCCCAGGGCTGTGCAGAAGCAGGAGATGGCCAATTCCAGCTCGCTTTCAGCCTTAGCACCCAGGCACTGGACCAGCACAAAGATCTGAATGGGCGTCCAGCAGATAATGAAGACGGCGACCACCACCAGAACCATGCGAGTGATGCGACGCAGGTTGCGATCCTTCTCCTTGGAGCCCGAGAGGACTCGGACGTTCTTCAGGCGCCTGATCATGAGGCTGTAGCAAATGGTTATGATCAACACGGGGATCATGAAGGAGAAGAGAAAGATGCAGACCCCAAAGACTGGATCCCAGTAACCCACAGGGGAAGGGAGCTTGATGAGACAATCGATCTCTGCAACGAATGGAGAGAAGAACAATAAAATAATGTGCATGGGGAATGCACGCATGTGCAACATCTGTCTACGCAGTGATTTGCTTTCTGCCCCTTGCATTGCCCATTTCATGCATGTTTATGAGGGCCTAACAGACGTTAAGGCCCATTGTGCTAAAAGCTGGACAAATCCACTGTACAAGTCAGTCTCTGCCACGAAGCATGTACAAATTGAACAGAGTGTGGGAAAGCTAAAGGCAAAGTGGCGTGCCCAAGGTCACAGCCTGTAATCAGAGTTAGGACAGATTTCTTACGCCCAAACCTGGTGCTCTATCCATTAACCATGTTGTTTTCCCAGGGCAGCTGGATGTGGAGTGAATAAGTGAGTTGCTCAGGACTCAACACTATGCATTCAATCCTTCTCTCCTCCACTGCCCACCTGTGCCACTGACGTTTTCTTTCAGCTGGAAATGCCAATATTCCCAGTGCATAGATGTGAGTGCAGAGAGCTATCTACTAGTAAAGGGATGAAACCAGTTGGGGCTAAAGTTCCCCATGTTATGCTGGACACAAATGCAGAAAGTCAGGTGATCCAGCTGCTGCTATCTGATCCCCCACCAATGCAACAGCCTTAAAGGACTCAAACCGCAACTGCTCCAAGACAACCCACAGCTCCTCTTTGCTCTAGGCATTTTGCCATGAGGTTTGGCATCCCCTGTGGCCACCAGTTAGGACAAACTCTCAGAAATAATTTTAGACATTACATCGCTGGGATGTGCCAGGCTTGCTCCATGGTTAGGTAATAAAATCTGACTCGTGCTTTATGGCACCATGCAGTGCCATCTTTCCCCCATCCTCCTCCTTCCAAAAACTGCAAGGGTAACTGGAGTTATATGTCAAGAATGGTATTAAAAGGTAAAGTTAAAACTATGGAAGTCCAAGATTACTCCATCTCATTTCAAGCTTGGCAAGCAGTCAGGAAAGCGCATTGGTCCCTTGAGGCCTGGAGGCAAGTAGGAAGGATGCACTAACGATAATGCTCTTTTCAGTGCGCTCAACTTTCTTGGAACCAGAAGAGGGGAGAGGTGCATGGAGGTTATGCATCTTTTTGTTCAAATTGCATGTTTAAAAAACACTTTCGCGGTGCCAAGAGGAGGATTAGCCTCTTCAGTTCAGCGTTTGCTTTGAACAGTGTGTAAGTGGGAACGGCTGGGATTTGGATGCAGCGTTGAAAGGCCATCAAGCTGCAAACCTGTAGAGCTGACTAGCAGTGCTGATGGCCCCTGGAGGAGATCCGCATCCAGCCAGCTCTCTTCAACTGGGAAACTGGTGTAAAGCATGAGGAGGTGGTGGTGGGGCAAAGAGAGGGTACTCCCATTGGGAGGCAGGAAGAGACAGAGGTAGACTAAGGAAAGCAGGTAGGAAGGCAGAGATAAAGGCATGACTTTCCCAAACCTGCTTTAAGATAACCCTACTTTGCACTGGTGCAGATTTAGGAGCTGAGTTGTCACTGAGGTGGCAGAGCGAACACTTAATCCTTTCACCAAGAAGAGGAACCTACACACAAGGACCCTTTCGTCCAGAGAGATGTACAGCACATCAGCACAAGCTAGCTGAAATTCAGCTAATCAAATGTGAGAATTGAGACTAAGCTGCATATTGCTGGAGAAGAAGAAAAGATTTTTCTTTCCCCATAGTGCGCAGCAATGCTCGGTGGGTTCGATTGTTTCAGGGGTTTCTTTTCATCCTGTCACTGAAGACTGAGGTATTAGACAGGGGTAGGGAGAAGACAGAAGAGGCTGACAGTGTGTAAGTGTGTATCAGAGAGATATGTTCCCAACTTTCTCCAGTCCACCAGAAGGTAAGTGCCTACTACTACTACTACCAACTATTGGAGTGACTACCAGTACTTTCTCTCCAGAAACAAAATGTTGTACAGTGGGAATGAAAACTGGAGTTCAAAACCTATTTACAAGGCCCTGAGGGAAGGGGATGTTATGATCATGGACTTAACGAGCTACCATGGTTACATCCTAGGGATGCAGTCTACCGTGCAGGATATCACCTGTTCATCCATTTCTACTAACCGCCATCATCATTCTCCGCTGATCCCATCACCATCGCCGGGATGCCAAAGACCGAGGCCAGAGCCCAGATGCAGACATTGACCACTTTGGCCTTGTGAGCCGTGCGGATATCCAGAGCCTTGACAGGGTGGCAGATAGCAATGTACCGGTCCACGCTCATCATGGTCAGGGTGAAGGTGCTGGTGAACATGTTGTAGTAGTCAATGGAGATGGCGATCTTGCAGAGAACATTTCCAAAAGGCCAGAACCCGAGGAACGTGTCCGTCCCTTGGAAAGGCAAGGTCATCAGACACAGGGTGTCTGCCAAGGCGAGGTTGAAGATATAAATGTTGGTAGCTGTCTTCATCTTAGTGAATCTGAAATGAAGGAGAGAGCAATGGGGAAATTTTAACTTGCTTTTCAACTGCACAGCTTATGAGGCGACAAGGATCAGTAACAAGTTCAACTTACTGAGCACCCACTGTGCAGTCCCTTTGCAGGGCTCGACCCCAGCATGGGTGCAGACTCCTACAGAAGATAATGGGTCTGTCCATGTAGACCCAGTCCACAGCTAAAACCTCTTCCCAAATGTGCAGCCCAAATAATCAAGCAGGAGGCATGGGGAGTCTTGGTAAACATTTTTCCCCCTCCAATTAACTTCCTAAAAAAATCACGCAATCAGCATAATGTCCCTTCCTCTTCCCACCTCACCCCACAAAAAGGCCTAATAGCTACTCCCAAGCAAAGAGCAGGCTAACACATGCTCTAATTTTTAAATCCTGTAACAAAGCCAGGTTGGACAAAGCAGACATCATCCCATGTAGTGACCGGGACCCTGGGAGTGGGGGACACTCATGCACGAGATCCTGACCACGTCTGCATACATTGTCCCTCCAAACAGCTGTAGCACAAAATGCAAAGAGCATCAATTGTCAGAAACGAAGAGGTTTTTTTTTTTTTAATTAAAAAAAACCCTCTTTCCACTTTCTGAAACTAAGCTGTTATAAGCAACAGGAGCGAAGAGTCACTCCTCACGGGACGGATCTCGTTTCCATCGAACACAACGCCCACATTCCCATAAACTGCTGCCAAACCAGGTCTCAATCTCTTTCAACCCAGCCATCTCAATGAGGAAAAAAACACCTCCATTTTAAGCTGTTATTTTCAGATCTAGACCATCTCTGTGAGCGCTCATTCAAAGCTGAAATTATAGTGAATCATATCCTCCACTTAAGGGTCTGGAAAAAATATTTAATGGCGGTGCCCTTCTAATAGAGGTGCATTACAATTGTGCTCAATGTATTTGTGAAGTGTTCAAGGGCTGTCTTTAAAGGCAGTAGGTTGTCCGAGCAGATCTTTTGTCCGGATGTAACTGGAGTCATGTAGACTGTTTATTCCCTTAGTGGTTTCAGGTTCATTTCAGGCTTTATTAGGTCTCCAAAGAGCACGCTCAGTGCAAAGCGACAAGGAAGGGTAATAGCACGCAATATTTTTTACTGGCAATACAACAGCCAGGCAGTAAGAGCAGAGCCATGCAAAGCATTTTGTTCTGGCTCTTGAGGTTGGATTTCAGGCTCTGTTCTGGGCTGCCTCCCAGCTGTAAATGGGGACGTGGCCATTTGGGCTGGGGACCCACAGGAGGCTGGATGTGATGGTGGGCACAATGACTCCTTTGTGGGCCACCGGTGACAGAAACAGGTGTGCTTTCTATTTGCCCATCTGTTGAGCCATTAAGCCTGCGTGGACTCAAATGCAGTATAATAAGCTGTAAATGCTCAGCTTGAGGCAAGCTCTGACTGTGAATGTTTTGTTACCAAAAAAAATCTCCTGCACTGTCAGGAGCTGGCTTCATGTTTGCTTCTCCTACTAATCAGCATCTAATCATATTTATGACAAAAGGGGAGTAATTAAGACAGATGACGCTCTAGAATAAACCTCTTTCATCTCTTGCTATTTACATCTTGGGAGAGAGATTGCATTGGGTGGTCATTCATTCTGCATTGGATATTCAAGCCAGCCAACCCATCAGCGCTGGTGGAGAGGGTAGGTTCAATAACATGAAGCCTCGATGAGCCAAAGGTCTCTATGTAAGCCAAATACTTTTGGGTAAGGAAGAGCTTGGCTCTACATTTCCTATTGATCTTGGCCTGGAAGCTGATGGATGCTGATGGTCTTTGTCCACGAAGTTTAATGTCATCCATTATTACACCTTCCAGAATGACTGGACATCTAGTTACCCCGCCAAATGCATCTCTCTAGCTGTCTCGATTTCTCACTAATGGTTTCTACGCAGGATGTTTAAGTTTGAAGTGAACGTTACAAAACAATGAGGAGCCTTGGAGGTCTCTCGCTTCCATTTGCATGAAAAATTCACGCCGTATCATTTTCTGAGGCTAGTGATAAGAGACTTACAAATGTCATGGGATTTCGCCCCAAGCAACGCTACATTTTAAAAAAAAACAACCCTACAACTTATGTTATGTCCTTTCCCGTTATTGTATTTCTGTGTATGATTTAAATGTTTTCAACAGTAAGAAAGGACATAGACAGTAGTATTTTAGGCTGTTCTTTTTTTTTTTCTTTTGGCTGGAAACATTAACTGGAGAAGGCTGAGGGATTTGCAGTGTAATAGCAGCCTTAAAAACACCATGTTCTCGGCAAGCTCAGCTCTTGCCCCAGTCCCTTAGCGGTTCATTTACTAGGAAACTTGTGCAAGCATCTAAATTGCTGAAATGGCTCAGGAACATGGCAGAAAGATTACTCTTTTTTTTTTTTTTAAAGATTACACATGTGAGTTGTGATTAGATAAATAACTGAAGCTTTTTAAAGGCTGGAGCATTTTCCTGTAATCTCTAGGAACCACTTCATCTTCATGGAGGTAAATGTGCTTTAAAGGAGTCTCATGTGACAGAAAAAGCAAGCAAGCAAGCCTGGTGTTAACGTTAAGACTCTGACTGAAATTTCAGATAGCTGGGGAGTTTGCTGTGAGTAAGTGCCGCAGGGGGCCTGCCTGCCAGCGCTTACCCAGATCTCACACGCAGAATGGTTTGAGCTTGCAGATATGGAGTTGTCTCATGGGGGTACTTCCCTTCCCATGGTCCCAAGGTACCTTCCTCCCAATGCTTCTTGTGCTTTGGGTACAATTATGCCACATAATGGACAGTGGGTAGCCCAAGGCCAACATGAATGGCTGCCAATGCTCTTACCCCCTTTGCCAAGAAGATCAATCCACAAATCTGAGTTTCTGAATCTCAAAACTAGGAACGACCAAATAGAGTGAAAGAGCTTTGCGCATACACTCATCCCCTGTAAAACTCAATAAATACCAAGAGATAAGAGCAAGCCTGAAGATGTATCCGAAAACATGGGCCTGGCAGTCTCCCATGGTGCTACCAATTTTCCAGCCATATGTATCAACTCAGCAAACTTGTCCAAGCCAACGTTAAATTGCATTATTGTCAGTCAAGAAGGGTCAGATTCCATCTTTGGACAAACGACTTAGTAAGGCTAAGCCAGGATTTTATCACATATCACTTAATTATAATGCTGCTCAGAGCGTTAGCAGATAAGCTGATCTGCCAGGCATCATGCAGTTTACAAGTCAGCAGCTTGGCCATTAGCTTGCAAAAAAAAATGGCCCAGTAAAGCTCATTGTCATTTCTAGCTGCATTTCATTAGCTTCTTGGTAAATGCAAGGCACATCCTAATTATTTATTATGAAGTCAGGATAGCACTTTCCCCCCTCTGTCTGCTTGGACTTGGATTCAGCTGCACACTCACAGAAGCTTCAGGGATGCTCTGAAAGCATGGAGCAAACACGAACTGCGGGTAACGAGGTTACCCTGTTGCCCATCCTCTATTCTGGACACGGGAAGTCCCATCCACTGTGATGGATAACATCTGTGAGAAACCCAGCATATGTGGGGCAAGTCCCAAAGCAAACCAGAATCTTGCCCATGCCTTCAGTGAGCCGTTGATCAGACCATAGATCAGTCAACATGAAGCGTTTAATTATTAGAACAGATGTGGCAAAACTCAGACTCTGAGTAGGATTGATGTGCACAAAGTGTTGAAGACAAAGCATTTGAGCTTTCCCAGTTCCCTTTCTAATTTCAAGTTGTTTGGTCATCTTTGAGTTTATTTAGCTAGCTTAATTCGACCCTGCTTCCTGGTGAAATTATTATAGCAATGGCAGAACATACGGCAGATCTTCCCCCCAAAAGCTCTACTAACATCTTTGCAACAAGCCACTGGTATTCCAGCCCTGGGGTGAATTTGCGCTTTAGCTGGCAACTGATGCTGGAGCCGATCTTACCCAGCTGCATTTGTTCTCTATTCTAATCTGAATATGCTTTCAAACCATATCAGAGGGAAAACCATGGGGCATGAACTTAGGGAGCTCATATTAAACAGATTCTAGCTCTCCTCCCAGGAGAATTTGCTGCTACACGCTCATGCATCGACCTGTCGGAGGGCTCTATCTACCCCATATTTTTCTCCATGGCTCCTTGTCTACAGGAACACAGCAAACCTCCAGGTCTATGTGACTGCACCCTGTTAAGCGATGTGGCTATGTAACATTGGTTTCAGCAATACACAGTCAACCAAGGATTGAACACTCCAGAAAACCAAGTCTGTTTTTCATTTGATAGGGCCCTCAGGTGAGTCAACATACAGAGAGCAGCATATCTAGCGAGTGCTTGAGAGCGGTATTTATGTGGCTGTATTCCTCCAGCAGAAATGTAATCGACTGCTGAAAAAAAAATCTTTGGCTTTAAAAAAAGCGAGCAGCTATTGGCTTGATGTTTGACCCTGGCTGTCAAGGGGATTTTCTCGTTGACGGAAGCAGGGGGGCATGCTGGGTATGTCTGAGCCCCTTCCAGCCTCAAAAACAGAAAATCAAGCATGTCAGTAGATTCTTAGAAATCTTGGTCAGAGACGTTTGTGTCATTCACAGCGGCTGGGAAATGATACCAAGGTTTGGGGGTGGTTTCACCCGTCACCAACAAAACACAAAATGTCCAGCCCGTTTAGGAGACTGGGAAGCCCTGTGCAAACGGCCTCGTGTTTGGTTTCAATGAACATCTACGTAAAGAATCATTTCAAAATGTCACCTAATCTGGAGATAATGGGTGTGTATACACATACTAAGGAGACTTAAAATAAGGCGACTTAACTAAGTCGACTTAAATTAAGCCACATCGGAGTATACAACACATATAGCTCCTTGACATGATGGCAGCCATCTTGTGAGCTAGGTCAACTGAACTAGTGCGACTCAAGATGATACACCTCGGAGGTGTATTATCTTGTGCCACATTTAAGTCAACTCTGCTCCACGTATAGGTGTACGCTCTGACAGTTATATCCACTTTAA